AACAAAAAAAAAAAAAAAAAACAAGCAATTATGGTGCCTTCTTATCCTTGGTCTGCTCAAGAGAGTACAGAGAGAACCTTGGAAAGCTGCCTGAGTCCAGCAGTGGTGGGGTGGTTCTGGTGGAGGTGGGAGGAGGTTTGGGGAAAGCTTCCTGGAAGAAATGACAGGTGACACTGTGGGCTCAATGGCAAGGTGGGAGAGTTTAAGGTGATGCTGGGAATGGATCTGGGGTGGGAAGGGCAGCACGAATGAGCTGGACGAGACAGCCAGGCCTCCGATGGCAGAGGACACGTCTGCTCTCTGAGGGAGTTTTCCTAGAACCCAAAGGGAATGGGGCACAGGGGCAAGGTTGAAGCCTGAGACTGACCACCTAGGAAATTTGTGCTGCTCATCTAGGTAGCAAAGGCTCCCCAGCAGGTTGGGCTCAGGACCTCTCTGCCACTCCTCAGGGAAATTGCAGCAGGGGGATCCTGGGGACAGGGCATGAAACTTACCCCAAGGCCAATGGGCGCTTCCAGTTTAATCTTAGCTCTGCGGGGGCTCCCTGGGCCAGCCCAGTCCCAGCTACTAATCAGCTGCTGTGGGGATTGATGGCAGCTGCATTGATCTTGCCTCTCTTCGGCTCCTTAAAGAGCTTATTGACTGGAGAGCCTGGGGGTGGGGGCTGTGGACTGGGATGTGCACCGCAGAAATCGCATCCGATCCTCGGAAGGAGGAAGGCAGGCAAGGAATGCATAAGAAGGGAGGGCCCGTGCAGGCCCCACCATCCATGCCCACTGCAAGCTGGCGATTGTGGCTACCAGGCTCCAGCCTCACCTCTTGCTGCCTGCTGCTCCCCTTCTCCACATGCTAGCCACACAGAGATGCCCTTCCTCCTCGCCCCTCTGCCTCTGGATATGCTGTCCCCTCAGAGGAGGATGTAAATCCTACCCCGACTGACCCAGCCTGACCTCTCCCTCCAGGCCCAGCACAGATTCTCTCCACCTGGAAGACTTCTCTGGGGCCCATGCTTATCCCAATGCCAGAACTTTCTCTGCTCCAGCTTACAGGGGACACTGGCAAGGTATCAGATGTGTAAAACTTATCACGCTTTTGGAAACTATCTGCAGCCTCTCCCTCCCCAGAATGTAAGTTCTTCAAAGAATGTATCCTTTGACTCTGTGTCCCAGGCCTGTAGCTGACACGGGACAGATGCTTGGTAAAGCACTCTAAACTGAGTGAATGAACTATGAATGCCACACAAAGTCCTGAACCCTTCCTTCTTTAACCCTGACCCAGCCCAGCCTCCTGAGAATGGTAAAGACTCTGCCTCCTCTAACCTGGATAAGCCCAGCTCAAATCTGGAACAGGGAATATTAGACATGAAAGGAACATAGGCCTCATGCTCCCTAAATTCAATCCTTGGTTTTATAGTTGAGTCACAGGTCCTCCAGAAGGACTGACTCATCCAAATCTCATAAAAGCAGATGGTAGGCTGTATTAGAGCGTACGGAGCTTTCAGCTGGGGCAAGGCTCCTCAAAAGACTGCATATGCTCTGAATCAGATTTAGAGCAGGACACAGAAATTTACAAGATTGGTCTACAGTGGCTGCCCAGAGTCAAATGCAGAATAGTGTGAAAGACCAGTCCAAGCCCTAGAGATCCAAAGTGTCCAGCTGAAGGCCTGAAGCCCATGGCAATGTCCCATGCAAGTCCACATCAGGAAGCCAAGTTATCCAAGACGAGTGACTGAGGGCTCTGCACCAGCAGGTCTAAGGGTCAGTGCTAAAAGCTAAAGAGTCTGCACCAAAAGCCAGGAGAAGCTCCAGGCAAAGGCAAGGACTGGAGCTCCTCTGAGGAGAAAAGCCAAGCTCCTTCAAGGAAAATCAGCTGAAATCCTTCTCTCCCAACCACCTTCTTATACCATTCAGGCAACAATCCTCCTCAGAGTGGGTCTTCCACGCCCAGAACCATGCTGACTCAATTCAGCTGGGCGTTCCCACTCAACTGGACAGTCAGTCTACCACCACCAGGCGGAGGGTCCTCCTTGTGATACTTTATATGGTCCTGGCCATGGGAGAGGAGTGGGGTGTGCAAAGCCCACTGAACCCTTTCAGGGACTCGCACCATCAGTCTGACGTCCTGGGACTGCCTCTGTTTCTTCAGGTTGTTGTGTCAGGGAAGGGGCTGGGGGACTTGAGGTCCTCCCTGTGAAGAGACCCTCTGCTCCCTGTTTGTCTCCCCACTCCAAGAAGTGAGGTGAAGCTGACTCAGAACCAAAGAGACCCCTGGCGCAGAGTGAGGAGTTCAGAAAACAGAAGAAGTGAGAAGCAGAGGCTTTACTTATAATATTGCCAAGGGGGAGGACACTGCCATACAGTGAACTATAGGGCAGGGAAACACTCAAGATGAGCTTCTTGCCCAGTGTCCATACTTATGGGGTCAGCTGATCTCTAAAAATAACCATTTCGCTGATTGGTATAATTTAGGCCAATCAGGGTCTTAGCCTTTGTTTCTGGTACCAGCTAAGGTTCCGGGGGTCTAGGGACACGTAGCAGATGCATGCAGAAGTCCCACAAAGGGCAGCTTCCTTAAGTACATCATGCAATGTAAGGATGCGGTCACCTTTATCATCTCCACCACATTGACCACTCATGTCATGCCCTATGCTGCCTACTTCCCCCTAAATGCCCTATAAGTGGGACTAGGTGAACAGATACCTTTTATCAGGCCCTGGAAGAGAGGTTCCCAGAAAGCCAAAATTCTTTCTTACCCTAACTCATGACGTGATAAAAGGAAAAGTTACTTTTGTCTGCAAACCTCAGTTTCCCAATCATCAAAATGGTGTTAGGAGAGGCGTGTTCTCTAGCAACACCTGCCACTCTTTGAAAACCATCTTCACAAGCTCATGCTACCTGGTATCAATGACAGAGGGCAAGAGGGAGTACAGTGGGATCGGGAGGTCAGGCTGAGAAACATAGCCTGATTGTGTTTGCTTTCTCACTTAAATTAAAAATCAGCATGCCTGCAGAAAAATGCACCATAAATGTGCAGCCCAACAAAAAATGTAAAAACCAAACCATCTGCGTAACCAATGTTTAGATCAAAGAACCAGACCTTCCCAGATCCTCTGAAGCTTCCCTTGGGCTCCTTTCCAGTCACTGCCACCTAAATCCACTATGCAGACTTAGAACTCCATAGATTAACTTTGCCTCTTTTTGCACTTAATATAAATGGAAGCTTACAACTGTACTTCTTTTGTGTCTGCCTTCTTTTGTACATCTTGCTTCTGTGATTCACCCATAATGTTAGTGTCACTGCTGAGGGGCCCTTCTCATTGTAATGTAGCATTCCATTGTGTGAATACACCATAATTTATTTATCCATTCGACTATTGATGGGCATCTGGGTAGCTTCCAGTTTGGAGCTATTACAGAAACTATTAAAATAGCCTGTTTTTAAGATTTTTAAACAACCACTTTAGAAGACATATGCTTAAAAATGGTGGGGAAGAAAATAATTATGCATTTATTCCCTCATTTCATAAACATCTATTAAGCACCCAGTGTGTCCTGGAATGATCTTCTCCCTTTCCTAAATTTGGCCTTTATAGTCCAAGTGACATCCTATTTCTTCTAGAAAATATTTTAGCATTGCTTCTCACCCACAGTAATGTTCCCTGCCCTCTGCGGACTCAAGGTAGGTCTTGCCAAGGACCAGAGAAAGTCGCTAAGCTCACACCACTGGCTTAGCCCTGCTCCTTCTCTGTGCTTGTTTACAGGTAGGTACTCCTGGAGAGGGGGTGATGGGTCTCATATTCCTCTCCTTCCCACAGTGGCATGTACAACATTAGGTACATTATAAAACTCAGCAA